GTGGAGCTTCTCGAGAGGGTCCAGAGAAGAGCAACCAAGATGATTAAGGGAATGGAACATCTCCCATACGAGGAGAGGCTGAGTGAGCTGGGCCTGTTTTCTCTGGAGAAGAGAAGGCTGAGAGGGGATCTGATTAATATGTATAAGTTCAGGAAGGGAGAATGCAGGGAGGAAGGGGACAAGCTGTTTTCATTGGTGGCCAGCGATAGGACAAGGGGTAATGGCCATAAGCTGGAGCACAGGAAGTTCCGTCTCTAGGTGAGGAGGAACTTCTTTACTGTGAGGGTGACAGATCAGTGGAACAGGCTGCCCAGGGAGGTTGTGGAGTCTCCTTCTCTGGAGGTCCTCAAAACCCACCTGGATGCCACCCTGTGCCACATGGTCTAGGTGTGCCTGCTTGAGCAGGAAGGTTGGACTAGATGATCTCTAGAGGTCCCTTCCAACCTTGAATATTCTGTGATTCTGTGAACTGATCTTTGCTCATTTGTTTAAAGCTTTTAAAAAACAGCACCTAGGAGATAAATGGGGCACATTCCTTCAAAATGTGAGCAAGTGATACTGACCCCAGTGGCTCAGGGCAGCCCAAAGCAAGAAGAGGGTGAGGATAATAGTTCCCACCACTGCTACTGGACTTGGTCCAGCACGACACTGCTGAAGGGTTTTCTGCATAAGAAAGACAAATTGTCTTCACAGTCAAGGAGAGATATTTCTATGTACAATAGAAAAGTTAGTATATGAGACACAATAGAAAAGTTAGGATATGAGATGCAATAGAAAAGTTAGGATATGAGATACAGTACAAAGTCACCATTTTTTTCAGGTTAACTGGAAACAGAGAGTTTCTGTGTGCTTACCTGCTATAAAAGCAAGATGGGGAGACTTGCTCACTGAAACCTTTGACAGTAAGTTGAAGCAAATACATTGTCTTCTGTTTGCCAAGAACAAGTACATGATCAAGTTGCCATGTTACCTTACATTTCAGTCAACATGCTGTCTAGGGAGCTAACAGGAGTGGCCCTCCTCCACTCCCCCATACTTAGGCTGTTACACTTGTGCTGGCTGACATGTACCTGTGTCTGCAGGTCAGGGTGTGAAATCCGCTGAAAAACAACCCTACAAAAGTAGCCATTATTTCTTTGCTTATTTACTTCTCTGGAACAGTTTATCAGAAAGCCAGAAAAGGGATGGGTCAGGAACACGCAGCCTGCAGAGCACTGGACTGGATCTGCTGTTACTGTGGCCCACTGAATATACAGTTACTCATTAGGATGTGGCAATTCAAGCAGGCCTCTTAACTGTATCTTGGTTTAAAGGAAATGCACCCACTACCACAAATAAAAGATATGAAAGATACTGCATCACAATCAGTCTGGTTTTCCACACCAAACTGACCCAGTATCAGTCCGACAAGTGGAAATAAATACCTAAATAAGTGAAAGAAAACAGCTTTAATTTATGTAGTAACTTAAAATTATATTTTCAGGTTTTTAAAATGCACTGGATGCAACTGAAAGTCCTTTGGAGAGATTACAAAGCATTCATCAGCCCATTGCTATATATTGTTGATATCCTGATATATGTTTATATCTTGGAAGAACTTGAGCATTGATACTCTGTCATGATAGTCAGTGTGTCCATATGAAATAGTAACCATATAACTGAGTTGTCTCCAAACAAGGTGATTAATCTGGGCCCACAATGAGCAATAAGGGAACTTCCATCAACCAAAAAAAAAAAAAAATGGAAGCTTTACAATATTAGCCAAGTCTATTGGCAGTCACATAGGAAATCTGAGGATTTGGCTGTTATCACGGCATGTTTACTTGTGGTTTGGTCAATATTGTGAATCTATTGCATAGTTTGGGTGAGAAAAAGGAAAATATTTCAGAGGTCCTCAAAATTAAAATTAATACTTTTTGAAATACAATTGGAAAAGGCTTTTGTACCCAGGCTGTTTATGTTTGTGACTTAAGCTATCACTATTTAAAATACCTAGTGAAATAAAAAAGCTTTGTTTTTGCAAAAGTCACGTTAAATTCTCTTTAGAAGTCACACACTGAGTGGAACTCCTTGAAGGGCATTGGATCTGCAGGGTTTTTCAATCACCCTTTCAGAGAGCAGGAAGAGATGATCTCAGATGGAGTAGGAAGTTTGTGATTGGGAGAGGTACTGCATTACAAATAGTACTTCTAAGGATCAGGTTGGGTGTTAATTAGAAAAAACTACCAACTTTTTTTTTTTTTCACAGATACAATACTATAGAGATGCAAACAGGCAGACCCAAAACAAAGTATGGAAATTCTGTTAGGAATTTGTAGACATTGCTTGAACAGCTACCTTTGAACGAATACTTAATTTCCAGACAGTTAATTTAAGTCATGTCCGATAGATACACTCATGACTTGCTTTCCCTGTAGAACAGCGCCAATGTGATCATGACCAGCCATCTCACATCCTTTTTGGTATTTCCATTGTTGCAGCCTGTAAATAACAAGATGCACTTCAAGAGATTTGAGACTGTGCAGCTGAAACAGGATCTTATAATTAAAAGGATCTAGCAACCATCCCTACATATATTGTTGCTTCGGGTCCTTATGGAAACTTGTCAGTAGAGATGGTGCTCTGTTCAGATTTTGCCACACAAATGTAATTCTCAATTCATTTTTGGTCTGTGGACATGATGAAGACTTGGCTGCAATAAAGAACACCCTATACAAATCAGCTTTCCCTACCTGAAAAGCTTTTCCACTGGCTAAAATGTAGGAGAACAGTGTTACAATGCTGTGTCAGATGATTTTCTTGTTTCTGGCTGCAGTCTGGAGGAAATTAAAGGAAAAGCAGATGTCTGAATAGAATGGCCCTTCCGCTTCACAACCAAAGGTCTCCACTTCCAAATAACTGAAAGGTTTAAAAAAGCTTCCTGATCACCTCAGGTTTTGGACCGGTACCATTGCATGGGATAGGAATATATCTAATATATGTGCACTTCACACAAAGGAGCTTTAATATGAAAGGAACCAGAGAGCATTTGTCCTTTGCACAGCCCTGTGAAAACCAAGTTTATACCATAGTTTTTCTTTTCAAAATTGTTCTTTGAAAGTGTTAAAATAAAAACACATTCAGATGGAAAACATTCTTTTATTGATCAGAATCTTGTTCCATATCTTCACTCCCCACCCTTCTCCCTGAGCTCACATGAGCAATTCCACATGGTTTCAGGATTTGTCATTATTCGTGTTTTACTTGACTTTATTTCCTTGTTACACAACAGGAAGTAAGGATGGCTCACAGGAGCATTCAGCGAAATAAAGGCCAAATGCTTGATAATCAGTACAATGTGTAGTATTGTTCTCAACTGTTGAGTATAAATACTGATAGAATGAAAAAAAATACTTCAGTTCTTTCTGTGAAACACTCCTTCTAGGATGCATTTACACACAGTATATTTAAATAGCTATCGAACCAAAGACATATTCTTCCTCAGATAAGTGGGAAGATTCTCTCCAAGTCAAATACAAATGCAAACATCACAAAAGGCAGTTGTTAGACAGCTCTCAGTGGTAGTCTCTCACAGTGAGGTCATCAGAATGGCATCAGAAAACAAAGGAAATTACAAAGTAGGATAAAGTGACAAAGCTGAAAAGACTTCCTCTCTTCTTTATTTCCCACAACTTTTGCTTATGACTTAAAATAAGCTTATGACTTACAAATAAAAAATCTGAAATAGTCACTCTGTAGATAATCGGTGTACTTGGAAAGTGCCCCTTTATAGCTCATTATATATAAAACATTAATTTAGAAGGAAAATGTGAACCTGATTCTCTAGCTACATGATCTAAGACATCTTTTTTGTTTTTAAAATACTGGGAAATGGGGAATCATAAGCCAGCTTCTGTTGGAGATGTTAAAAGAGGCTTAATTTGCTATTTTTTTCACTCATACGAATAATCCCACAGTAGTTAGCAGAAACCATTAACGTGAGAGAAGACCACTTAGAGGGTTTGCAAGTCACACCAAAAGACAACCTGATGTTGAGGAGATACCAAAGATCTTAAAAATGTGTTGGTAAATTCATTCACCTTGTATCCATCTTCAGTGCAAGGAATGCACGCTCTTCAGCCTAAAGGAAACAAAATTAAAGAAGATTGGCTTTTTTTTCTCAAGTGAAAAAAAGATTTCATTTATCTTCTGACAAGGAAAAGAGGAAGAGACTGCCTGAAAGCAAAGACCAAAGCACCCTCCCAACTAAAGTTGGGAAGCCACGATTTCCTCAAGGAAACCTCAAGGTTTTTTTCCCATCTTCATACAAAGCCTTGCGTATGAAGCAGTGTCTGCTCCTTGTGCTGCAGATTTCAGATGCAAAATCTTCTTCACTAGCATCACATGCCATGAGATAGATGTGACACAGGAGGCCATATTCTATAAAACAGCCACTGCTCTAGGTTGCCTCTGATGGGGTACCCTTATACAAAGAGCTTTTGGAAGAATAGGAGCTCCCACCAAACCAGGTATCTGTTGGTTACATTGATTACTGTGGTCCATCTCATTGGTTTACAGTCTACGTGTTGCTGTTTTTCAGAGGGCTAGGAGAATTGAGGAAACACTGAACAGCTGAGGAAATTTCACCAATGAGTGAGAGCACAGAAGGGGACTGTGATCTCCCTGCAAATGCCAGGGAGAAAGCACAAGGCAGGTGCTAATGATACGAGTGTCATGCTCAGCAGGTCAGATGTTCTGGGCTCTTGAAGGTTATTGCTTCTCACTACCTCTGATGCCAGACTGCACCGCTGTCCAGCAGAGAGGGGGAAGAGCACAGAGGGAAGCGGTGGCTTCAAGGGGAACAAGGTTTGGGAGAGACAGGAACCAGATATTCTCACAGGGGAGTACTAAATTCACTCAGAATTGCCTTACTTTAGACAGGGTAACAATATATTTTCAGGGTTAACTCTATCATCTCTTGAACACTTTTAAACTATATGTGAGAGAAAGAGTCCAGGTACCTGTGTGTCATGGCCTTTGCTGGGCTTCCATCACTGTATGTCTGCCTGTGAAAACCTGGAGAAACAAGTTCAAATGTAGGCTGACCTTTTTTTAATTATGGTTCTTTTTTTTCATATTAACTGATTTTGGTTGTTGGTTTATTTGGAATAAATATATATTTTTAAAAGTTTAAATAATGCTTTGAAATGTTTGTATATGTTAAATAAAATCTAGAGAACTGTCCAAAAATTCAAAAGAACACAAAGTTTTGCCTCTAAAAAAACAGACAAAATTTTTTTTTTTATTTCTGTGTTCCTTAGAGCAAATAAGGTTAAATTTCTCCAATTCCAAAGCATGACTACTGATAGAAAATAGATATAAAAGACAATATATTGCATTATACATAATAGAAATCTTTTCTTCAATTTGGAAAGGGAATAGGTTTCATGATAGTTAGCTACAGTGGTTTTTATAAAAGATAAATAATCCCTGTCCTCACTGGGATGCTGGGTTTAAGGTGCAAAATGCATGTTATTAATACCCCTACTCTTTTGGGCAAACTGATTCTGCATGATATTTTAAATAATAGTCATATTTGACAATGTAAACTTCCATTTCACAGAGATATATACAATAAATGTTTTCACTGTGCCATTATAGGATTAAGGATTGTTTGACATTTTGTATAATTCAATTTGACAAAAATCATGGATGAGTCGCACATTTAACATTCCCTTCACTCCATGTTGATTTAACCTGTTAACATTTTGTATTCAGAGATATTCATAGTAGCATCCCCATATAAGAATTATTATTCTAAGTGATAGGACCTTCAAATAACTTTCATCATTATGGTTGGACTTGATGATTTCAAAGGTCTTTTTCCAACCATAATGATTCTATGATGATCTCTACTCTGAAAAGCTAATGCTTGAAAAGTGGCTTTATTTTTGAGTACTTTGAGAAAATAAGAACTCAAGAATAAGAAACTCTTTACTAAAAATGCTGTTATTCTTATAGATAAAATCTTAAACATCATCAAGCAAGGTGTTGATAGCACCTAATGAGTCCTCAAGAACACAGGAATTACAGCAAGGGCTTGGACCTGCTAGTTCAATGCTTTTTCTATCTTTGACACTAACCAGCACCAGCAGCTAGAGAGGGAAATTTCAAAACCCCCTCCTGACCATGCATGCACATTGCATTATCCAAAACCAATCCAAAAAAAAAAAAAAAAATCCAAAAAACAGTTTGGCAGAAGCCATAAAGCATGAGGTTAAAATGGTCCCCATAATAGCCAGATCAATCACATATTACAATTCTGATGCTCTTGATATACAGTGTTCTCCTTTTTTCTCCCACATCTGAATCTCCATAGGTTCCTTATCAGAACAAAAACCTGTGACAAATTCCACATTTTAATTCTGTGGAACATTTCATTATTTTATACACTTTTGTCATATCCTTCACACTGGTGGAATGGAAAATATGAATAAGGAAGATAGATCCAGACTGCATGAATCACAGTATTTATATCACAGAGTATTTAACTGAGTCACCTTGCGGGCTTGGTAGGAGTTTTTAAGTAGATAGGAAACCTGAACCACCATTAGGCAGCTGCTTGCCCAGAGAAGTGCAGTGACACCCCAGACTGAAGCCCGCTCTTTTTTAATGCTAGGCTTTCAAAGCTTGAACTAGAGTTAACCGTGAGGTATGTTTAAAGTACTGAAAAAATTGTCCTAGGAATTGCCATGTTTACAATGAACCAGAGGAGGGCAGATTATTTGGGTAGGTTTGAGTATTTTTTGTGTATTTTGTTTTGGGTTTTTTTTTGGCAATGCTCAGCCTGAACCTTCCCTCAGTTTTACTGTCTTTGCACTTTGTAGTTTTAGGCTAGTGAACCCACCCCTGCTGAGCACTTCACCTTAAGTCCCCAAGCCTCAGTTTACTCTGGGTGGGTTTCAAATCATAATAGAAATAATTTTCTGTAATTTCTACTGGGAATTTCTACTGACCCGTTTACAGAGGTGGAAAATCAGCAGAAGGGCCGTGCTGCAATCTCTGCAGTGACATGACGGTGTGCCTGCTTGCCAGGGACTGCTTTTAACTAGTTACCTCATGCACTCACTGCAAGGTAAACGTAGGTGTGGTGCACAGGACTTGGCACGGGCTGAAAAAGTCACCCAGGAAGCTGAGGATATAGCCACAGAAATTGCCCTTGTAGTAGCTAATTAAATGCTAGTTTGTCTATATGGGTCCATTGCAAAAAAAGGAAGCTAAACGTATCAAACTCACCTGTAGGCATCCATTTTTGTCTCATGAATCCCAGTAAAAAGTGTAGAAAATAATGAAATATTCTAGGGAAGTAAAATGTCAGTCTAATAGTAAAAACATATTTCACAATCTAATTTTTCTTTTGTTATCATTAATACTTACCACAGTGGGTATCACAGATCTGTAGAGGAACTGAATAATCTACATCTGTCCTCCAGCCCTTTTAAAAGAAAGAATTAAGTCTTATTTGCCTTTCAGCACACTAGTACTGAAGATTTGCCTTGACAAAATAAGCATTGCTTTATTTGTTTACTCAGCTGACTGCATTTTTAATCTGTTTTTAAATAAATGTACTATTGGCCTTGCCTACATTTAGCAAGTCTAATCACTTGTAGATTTCTAAAGCACGAGGTTGAGCAGAATTCTTTTTGTGCAGAATTGTATTTGTCAGATAATGTCTTATTTTCATGATAGACGGTTTATGTAGGAAAATACCAATTTTGCCACCAAATCTTTTTCAGTGGGGAAAGAAAAATCCCTTCCTGTGCCCAGAAGGCTCTTGCCAGGTTCCCTTTCATCTTCCCAGGAGCGGAAGGTGAAGCAAGGTCTAAATAAAGTTCATTTACACAAATAACATGCAAGAGCAGTCAGAAAAAGTCTACTCAGCTCTGCTTTCGGGAGTGCTTATTCTAGCATACTAGGTATTTACTGTGCTGCTTGCTATATATATGCCTAGCCTTTCTCAGTTAATGTCAGTTTTTGAAACATTCATCTGCTATTCACTTGGATCTTTTGACTAACTTTTTATTACAAAGGAGCACATAAAGGCAGAATTAACAATTTCCTGTTGGTATCCCTTTATCTGCTGCCAACAAAGCAGCTAGATCAGGAGATCAACTTCTGTGTTAATTAATATCATCTCAACCAGAGGTGGTGGCAGCAAATCAAGCTATAAATAATGCTCTTTGCCAACTTCATTTACAGCATAATCAGATTTGGCGAGGAGAAGGAAACTGCCAGAGAGCCTGCTGGTTTTATTTTCTTTTTTCATGGCGTGCTTATTTTGTACAGTGCACCTGGCAAAAATCAAAACACATACCTGAATGCAAATTGTTGACCCACACATTTCCTGGGACATAGTGATTGATACAGAATCTCCCTAATGAAAACAAAGTGGAAAACTATTATTTTCCATATCCTGGTAAAGTGAATACATATGTATTGTCTCTCTCCAGCTCTTTGGTTCATTTGCCCATAATGTATGTTCCACAGCCTCCGAAAATTAACACAATATATTCATTATGGAAGGCTATTTATTTTCAGGGGCTATCCCTGGGTCTCAGTGACCATATGAAGCTGACGTAGTTTTGCTAAGCATGGTTTGGGAAGCACAGGAAGAGGGTTGATTTTCCTGCATTTAATGAAGTATCCTAAGTGAAGACACCACCCCCATGGCTGCTGACACCACTCAGCCACTGAACATCTTCACTTCTGCTCTCTAGTGTACACGAACTTGAAGGAAATACCATTATTTTGAAGTTCTTGAGGACTGCCCATCACATTGTATACTGAGAACAAGTTCAGCCTTAGGGTAGACTTGTCCTAAATGACTGATCTGCCACTTAAAATGTGATTGTTTGTGGTTTGTTCTCAGAAGAATAAGTTACTCCACTAATAACTACGCACCCTAGCACTGCTCTCCTTAATATGTCAAAACTCCTAAACAAATTTGGAGTAAAAAAGGCTAACATATTCTTACTCCTGTAGCCTTACTCCGATGGTATTAAATAGGAATTATTGTTTCTGGGAGCACAGTTAAGTCATAATGAAACCTTTGTGCATATCGCTCATGGTGTTGGACAGGAACTGTGTGTAATTTAGGTGGGCTGCCATTGTGGTGAGGCAGCAGAAGAAGCAACAGCTTCATACCACTAAGAAAAAAAATGAGCATTTCTAAATACTTCGATGCCCTTCATGAGACACCCACTAGCTGTGATTTTTCACTGCTCTACCATAACTTTTCTTACCTATCAAGTCACACAGGGTACCTCTGAAACCAAAAGGTCTGAATTATACAACCTTATGTGGAAAAAAAGGTCAGATAAAGGGAAATGACAGTGGTAAGTGTTCACTGAATTCATTGTTTAGCAAACCTCCTACCACAGAGACCTCCATCTCTGACAGTAATACTACATGTCCCCACATATCCTGCCTCATTAAGACAAAATCTTAATAGTGCCACCAGCACCCTCTGTGATCTATATTGATCAAGAAAGTTGTTTTCTCCTAAACCTTCTTTCTCAAGTGGTTTTGCAGCTCTAGGGTCTGCAGGACAAGTTAACATTGAACACATGCAGCAAAATAAGCTCAGAGTTGGGAAATAGAGCTTTAGCAGCTTCTCTGTCCAGTGCAGAGCCAGAGATGTAATTAAAAACCTAAATTAATTAATTACAAAATTAGTTCAACTTTCAGTGTTAACCCCTTGAAATGTAAGAAGTGCTGATTTACAGCTGCCTGCTTGCCAGCTACCCATGGTATAGGCACCTTGGACATCAGAGGCACCAGGAAAACATGACACAGCTGCAGCTCATACCTGCACACAGTGCAAAGATGAACAGCTGGAATATATCCTGAAAAAGAGTATATGTGGCAGAGCTACAGCATGCTCCTCTCTCCCTGAGCCCCCTAAAGCACAGCAATGTCAACGAACACAGGCAGGAGTAAGCAATGAAATCACACCATAGCGATTTCTCAGTTTCTTGTGTGGCATCTGATACACATGGTAGAGGGAGATGTGAAAGGAGAACACACTTGGGAGCTGTCCTAGTGCTATTGAGAAGCTAGCTGCTGAGCTGGGAGGATTCCTCTCAACATGGCAGTCCTAGTAGCTCCTAGACATATATTATTTCTAATACTCTCCTATTTGAAAAATAATGCTATGGACACTCTTCTGCTCTTTAATCCCACATTCTCAGTAGACCACAGGTCAGGCTAACCACAGATCAGGACAACAAGATAACTCTGGCATGCAGGGTTGATGGGTAAGGGCAAGCCACAGAGCTGTACTGAAAATGTATGAGATACAGGCTTAGCTGCAAGAGAGGAATGAGGCTCTCATTTCATGAATAGCTGCTGCCCAAAACAGCAATTTTCCCATAGTCCTTTCCCTCTCTCCCCACTGCTTTTGCTGGGAAAAGCAGTTGTATGGTCACACAGCTGGATTGAAAGTTAATTTGGCTGAAAAGTTACCTTTTTGTGTACTGAGTTAGTTTTGGCAGCCATTGGATTTAGCGTGGCTTGAGATCATTGTGTAATTATGCTCTAACTCTCATATTTCATAACGTGAGATTTGCCAGGTCTGCTGCATCAGCGACCCATATATGAAATGTTAACAATAACATCTCCTATGTGCATAATACGTACATTATACCGCAAAAATGATGCTAAAAGAATATTAATGTTCCACTCAATAATAACTTCCTTTGATGTGACTCATTTGACTTCAACATCCTTATTTATCTTTAATCAGTGTGAGATCAGAATTAGAACTACATGCTTTAAATATGTTCCATTAATTGTTTCAGTATGTTCACGCACAGGCTTATTAATGCATTCAGGCTGCACAGTGATAAATGGAATAATAACGAATACAGTTAAACAAGTTAAAAAGATTTAAAACGTCTAAGAAATAATATATACAAACCGCAGAGACTGAATGGCGCATCCCCACAGCTTCACATGAGCCCAGCTGCGTCCTGTTACACACAAGCACGGAGAATTGCGCCGTGGTTTGGGATGTGAAGAAAACGTGTATCTGCTCTGCCACTGCAGCAGTTCTCATTTTCCAAGCTGATTTTTAAGGAAAATAGACTTACTTTTACCATATATTATATTTATAATTGTTGCATTAAAAGTAAAAGCCATTTTAACTACTTGAGTACCGTCAAATAACACGCAAACAACAATACATACAAGTAACAGACCATCAAATGTCTTTGCTAAAATTCACAAGCCATAGTGATTTGAACACTTGACCAAGGGCAAAGCTTGTTTAGTGGCGAAGATTCATATCTAGAGATTGATTGAAGTCTCTTTCCAATTCAATATTGTCTATTATCTGATAAAACAATTATTTACCTGGAAATTCTCCATGAGCGAATGGACATTTAACCCAAGAGTCTTGCTTGGTTGTAAACTGAAAGCAGAGAAATCCATTAGGAAAACCAATTTTTCAATTTGAATTGGTGGCTACAGATTCAACTAGAGATCATCACTGCACTCCAGCAGGGCGAAAGTAAAACTACAGCTTTCATGTCTTATGTATCTTCTAACCCCTGATTTGAACTGGTCTGGGTTAAACTCCATTTTTTCAGACACTGATACATTTCCATTTTGTTAAAAGTAAGCAAAAAGAAACCAGTAAAATGCCTAGATTAATAACATGATTTTTATATATCGTATAAGATTAATAATACACCTAGATGGCACTTTTGTGAACTAGTACAATAAAAGTAGCTCATCGAACAAGTTTAATATGTGCTTTAGAGTCTGCAGTGTGTGAACTAAGACATTTTCTCTGCTTTTCATAAGCAGAAAAAAATGGTGGCACAATTTGATTTGTGTCACCTCTAGCAATTCTTCTGCAGTTGGAAAGAACCTCTTTTAATTTACTCTTTCACATTTCCTTCATTCTTATTCCCTATTCATCAGAGATATAAAAGAAAATATTAATGCTGAAGAATATTAACAATTTCTTCTTTGATAGCTAACATATAGAAAGGCAGTAAATAGGTCATTTAGAAGAAAATCACTTTACCTTCATGCAAAGTCTTGGGTGAGTGTCCACACGAGAATATTTAACCTGCTTGAAAAGATAGTGGTTAGCATTAGCTACTTTCATTAGCCAGTTTCACAGAATTATCTAGGATTTTCTAGATTTGATTACTGAACAAGGAGCAGCTTTGTTTACTGTATCTCAATGAGTTAATCACATAAAATAGTAACAATAGGTATAACACTGTTCTTGAGTTGCTAAATAAATCACATGTTCCATGCATAGAATGTAGCATTTTTGACATTCATTCTGACCTAGCATAACTAAATCGCTGGATTCTCTGGTGACTTGTTTAAGTAATTCTAATTATAGAGTCATCTTGTTCTGGGATCTTATTTACCATCATCACCAATTCAGCAGAATAGGTAAACATAGAATCATAGAATAGAATCCTAGAATCACTGTGGTTGGAAAAGATCTTCAAGATCATGAAGTTCAACTGTAAACCCATCACCACCATGCCTGCTAAACCATGTCCCTAAGTGCCTCATGTACACATTTCTTGAATACTGCCATATTCTCAAAGGGCTGTTAAAGGCTTTCTGGGGCTTCGTTTTCAATTTAATAAATTCTCAATTTTCAGTGTCCCTATTCAAGAAAAAACTTAAAGAAATGGATTTTTAAACAATTGCTTAACTGACTTAAAAAATGTTTCTTTAGTGAATTGCAACCAATTAAACCACCAAAGACTTCAACATGAAAAGCCTTGTCCAATATAAGCAATTACTAAGCATATAAGTCATCTTCCTTGAGTGTCTGTCACACAACTGACTAAGGGCCCTACAGACAACTGGCAAAGTAACACCTCATTCCTGCAGTTCTTTGAGAACAAACTGAAGGCCTGTCTATGGTAGCAACAAGAGAGTCATGGGAAGGTTCCATAAGAACCAGGCATGGAAGCTCAGACACGGAAACAGCATTGCCCTGGACAGAGAAAGACATCCAAATCAGAGAGCAGAGTGTTGTAGCTCTGGGGCCTGAGTCAGCACATGTGTGTATCATAAGAGTGTGCAGCCCCACGTGGATTAAGTGGGGGAAATTGACACTAACTAAGGAACCTTTTCAGTGGTCTCCAGCACGCTATGGACATGTTCTTCATTATTACAGTTGCATGCAAAAAATGGACTAAATCCAACATTACATCTTTTAGGAAGAATTAGAAAAAAAGAAAATTCATCCAGTCTATGAATATTAATATTGAGCCATGGGTAAACATAGGAAAACCCTCATTGTCTGGTACTAAACTAATTGGATTATGTTATGGGTCATAGATATGACCAATGCCATTCCAACCTCATTCTAGACTTCTTTCTTTTTCCTGTAAGTATTGTGTTTGTTGTCAGCAGATGGTGAACTCCGCAGGGAGCACTCACATGTGCCAAATTAAATATATTTGTTTCTGCAAGTCTGAAGCTTTGCTGAAAGCTAGACAGAAAATGGTGAATCTGTGTAGGCACCACACGCTTGGCCAAGAGTCTCTAATATTTCAGTGTTTCTTCAGCTTATAAGACCAAACATTCAAAAGTCTTGAGTCAATCCTGACAAATCATCTCACCAGAATAAGACTAAAAGTTTCAAAAATTAAGATTTGAATTTGTTTTTATTTGCCTTTTGAGTTTCTACCTCAAGCTGACTAGTTTCTTTACATCATCAGGGAGACCTGAAACCTTTGAAGGTGAAAGTGGAAATTCTAACCAACCTCATAAATCCAGTGCATTCAAATTCATGCAACTTCAGATTAAATATGAAGGAGTTTGAGCTATGCACCATCCTTTTCAGTTTTAAAGTATGAATGCAGGAAGAGCTGAGTGCTCGATATTTCAACACCCAAAATTTCAAGGTGTTAGGCCAGGTTCAAGAAGGCACTTAAAAAAAAAACTTAAGAGAGTGAAAAACAATCATGCCCTATGGAGGTACAGTTGCACCTCCAATAAGATATAAAGAGATTCAGATTCATCTCAATTAAAGTTTAGATGCCTAGTAGTTAAATATATACATTTGATCTAATCACAATAGATTCCTGTCATAGCCAGTGAAGAGAAACAGGTACCTTTAGGGAAACTTCCCCCTGACCTGTTTTAAATGCCTGCCCTCAGGCTAGAAGCATTGTTTTCTGAGTATGGCTGAGTACTTTAAAGGGAATCTGGGTTGAACAGCTGAAACTTGGACACCTACCTTTTAGACAACAGTCAGAGCAGATGAATCACGCCTTTACTACAAATGAAAAGCAGACCCTCTTTACCCCAAAGAATTTAATAAACATTACGAGCTTCACAGTCACTCCACTTTTTGTTCCCTAATAATGAGTTAGCCAATTTTCAGCTCTCCAAATAAAGCATATCAACTAACTGTGATTATGAACCTTTTTAATTATCAGAAAGGAAAAGTTTGCAGCTGCCCTTAGTGCAAAGTCTAGCTGCTCGCATGAAGCATTTAATCACAACTTTCTAGCACAGCTTTCAGTCTCAGTTTGAAGTCTACGTGGCTCTTACCTTCTCAGGAGAACTCTTGGACGTGTTTTGTATATCTTCACAGTGGTGGTTAGGCTTCATTAGCCTGCACAGGTTAACCGTGACAAACACCGGACAGGTTGGTTCCCAAGCCAGGGTTTGTGTGATTGGATTATAAACAATATTATCCCATAATGCCTTTGTATCTGTACAGAAAGAGTGGAAACATTATTCAAGATGTCTAAAAAATAAATCAAACTCATTCGTAAATTTGCTATTTATATAAGTGCTTAAAACCCAAAGCACTGCTTTTCATTCCTTGTCATTTCCACCAGTTCATCCTACTAAAGTGTTGGCATTTTGCTGAAGTACTGAAGAGTTCTGCGATGGCCATCAGGCACCACTAGGGAACGGCACCAAAGTCTCAAGGAGGCTGAAGTGTCCATGGAGGTGTATTATCTGCCCAACAGCTACAGAGGGAACACAGTGCAGGTGTACCCCTCACCAAGGACCTTCATGTCCTGCAAATACTTTTGGAGGAAAATCTTGAAAAATTGGCCATTTGGATTTTCAAGATGTGTGAACAAACAGTGCCTATGACTCTTGAAAATGTAACAAAGTGAAGGAATGCAGCCTACATCAAAGAGTTGAAATATAAGGTAGCAAAATTCAGCCCTCATCAAAATCTCATCAAGCATAACAACAAATTCAACTTTTATAGCTTTTTATGGCTTCCTTTTCAAAATGTTCTAAAGCAAAACCTTTTGATATTTTCTATTAGAAATCTTCCAGACCTCCTAAATCTGCAGAACTTTGTACTATCTTAACTTTCTGTCCCAATGAATATATATCAAAATACTGAATATTCCTATGAAGTGGAAATATCTTTTTTTTTATAACTACTGTTTGTAACAAATGGATAGGTACTGTAAAGCTAATGCTAAGACAAGATTTATTATAATCAGAAAAGTCCTGGTTCCCAGGGACTGTAGCAGAGTTTTCACAGATACATTTTGAATGTGCAGGAGTCTTTAATAGTGTAGCTATAAGTAGAATGCTAACAGAGCATAGCTAGCACCATAACTAAGATTTGTCTCCAAGCCCTCTCCAGGTCTGCTCACTGACCTATTAAATGACTTTGCTTCTGTCTCTTTCCTTTATGGAAATCAGTTATCTATTTATAATAAAGATGCTTGTTTGAAGATTTTTTTCTCTTCTACTTCATGTTCTTTGTTTATCCTCATTTTCATTAAATTGCACTGTTTAGTAACCAGTACTCTTCTTTCTCTTCTTTCCTTTTTTTTTCTTCCCCATATTTAAATTAACACATGAGAGGATGTTCTTTCTGATACACAACTGTTAATTGATTGCTGCTACATAACTAACTCTATCATCCCAGATTTTTTTACATGAGTGAGAAATGTGGCAGGAAAGAACTTGTCGGCTTTAGATATTCCTGTACACAGAGCTGTCAGCTCAGAAATACAGAAAACTTAAAAATAAAACAATTTGTCTTGAAAGTTGGAACTCTACTGTGCTTTATATTCTAAATAGCTGGGTTCATGCAGTTAACTGTGTTCTCAGCTCCCAGTTCCCTCTTCCAAGCTGACTGCTATGTTCCTCTTTCAAATCTCTCCTAAAGTTCTCCTCTTACATCATCATTCCAAGACTGACCTCAGTGGCTTTTCTTCCTTCTGATTTAAGAAAATATGGGAAATTACAAGATAATTAATTAATGCTTATATTATCATAAACTTTGTGAACAATGTAACCTGGAAGATATTTCATCTATCCACACTATAATCAAAAAAAAAAAACAGTTTCCATAACATTTTGTTGTATATGATTTTCAACTTAGTTGCAATTCCAATTGCAATATACTACTGGAACTGCTAGGAACTACTCAGAGAGTAATCACACAACACTCACCATTTTCAAAGGGACAAAGCTGTGTCCTCCTTGCATCTGGAATTGCCAACCAACCCTACAACATAAGAAGTCATCATTAGCTAAAGATTCTCAGATACACCAATCTTTATCATGTCAAGACAGAATGAGACAAAGAACCTTTTCACCAAATATGTTTATGTATGTGCTATGTTCATAATAAAGCTTTAAGGAGTGTTTTTAGGAAGTTGTTTTGCACTAGTCATTTATGGCATTGCTCATTATTTAGGGGACTGGATTTGAAGGACCAGGCAATCCTTTCTAGCATATATTGAGTCATATTTTGTGTAAGTTTGTTCAGAAAATCTGCCAGTTTAATATTTTTGTTCATTTTTTATACTCTCATAATAATGAGAAATAATCATTTCTAATAATCAGAAATCAGGGTATCAGAAGTAATCCAAGGATGATGGAATACCTATGACCTATTTAATAAACCTCATCTTTCTTATGGTAAACGATGTGTCTTTAAAATATAATGACTAACACTTAAACCCAGTTCCACAAATACCTGTGCATGTCTAGTCACCATGCCCTAATTATTCAGATTCACATGCAAATGTTTCTGTTACTCACAGCTGCCAAATACAATTCCCATTTATTTGCCCAGCACTAATCACATTGTTGAATTTATTGTATATATACTGAGTGGAATAATATCATTTCAGTGACCTCCCACCTTGCAGAATGGAGTAGAAGAAAAATGTAGATTTGCAAGAGAACTCCTGGTTCATCTCTAAGATATTTCATGTTAGGCGTCTACACATCTGAACCTGACTAAGGTGCTCTAGCCATGTGAAGATCTAGTTAATGCAGCCTGTGGAGTCCAAAGTGCTGTTCAGCTCATCTCAAAATGGGCATTAACATTTGATTAGTTGAGCAACTCAACTATTGCATAGCTGCTTGATCATTAGATTAACTAGTTACTAACTGTAAGATTTTGGAATATCTAGCTTGGAACATTTAATTCAAATATAAGTGTTTACAACTGTATATCTACACATATCAGCAAGCTGAATCCCACTGCAAAATTCCTTGATAAATTAGATTAGATAATCTTTGCATCTCATCAAGCTCATTTTAAATTGGTTTTTTTAATTTTTATTTCTTTTATTTTTCTGAAAAATATTCCAAAATTTAACTTCGCATGTTTTTAGAAAAATTGTTTTAGGTACCCTGAAGTTTATCCACCTTCATTCATTCTTGCATTTTACAGCAAGTATGAACTTACATCTGACACTACTATCATTTCCTCCTCCTCTAGCTATTTTACCTACAAAGATCTTCAGACTCTTCCAGTTATCCTGATCCTTTTCCATGTTAGTTCTCAACTGACATACATATGCTGACATGCTTCTCAACTGTATTATCAGCAAAATTCATTAGCATATTCCCACTTCTTTTGGGAATGTCACCAATAAAAGGATTATATAAGGACTGTTCTAAGTTTGGTCCTTAAATAACTTTCCTATCAACACTGCCCCATGCAACAGAAGTTGTTGAATTAGCCCTCCAGGTAGGTATTTATCTACCCTACAAACCTTGTCCTAATCCCCAGCTTCCTTAATTCAACTGCTAGTTTCTGCTAGTTTCCCATATGATACAATACCAAATCCTCTGCTGAAATTCAGTCTGATTAAATCTGATAGCTCTTCCTTGATTTTACATCTATATTTTTTTTAATCTATCAGCCAAATTAGACTTACACAATACTTTTGATAAAATAGTATGAATTGTATTCCTTTCTGCTTTTATCTCCATGTTTTAATCTATCTTTCAAAAAAAAAATGTTTTGAATTATAAAGTGAGAACAACTTTGTCAGAAACTTATGTCCAGAGCCTTTCTGTATAGATTTTTCTTCCTTTCTCAGGACACAAATCTTGAATAAAATATCTTTAACTGGAAACACAATATATGTCAAAATCAGACTATATTACCTCAATGCAAAGACAAGGGAGTAACTGAGAATACTTCAGAGAAACTGATTTTAAAGATTCTTTCCCTTTTATCTGAAATGAAAAAGATTATCATGAGTCCAGGACAGTAAATAACTTTTAATACAGGTAAATAAAGATACCGAAGGTCCATTCCTGTAGCTATAATCTTAATGACCATTTCAATTTACAAGTCCCCCACTCAATTCAACACAGCAATACTTCCAGCTTTAACTCACCACAGCAAATGCCCCCACATCTTCACAGGTAAACCATTTGTGACATAAGCGAACATAATAGTCTTGATCTCGGAGCAAGTTGGATACATTCACTGATATGACTTTCTTGGCCCAGTCTACATTATAATCTAACTTTCCACCTGAGAAGAGAAAAATCAAATATGAAATTACTACCTCTGTTTATTACTCTCTATATTTCTTATTTTACTATTTGTTTAATCTTCACAATGTATTTCATAACTTGACGGACATGAAATTCGACCTCTATAGATTCATATCTAGGATGTTTGAATTAATCATTTTTAATATCTAGATCTTCCAGAGTGTAATCTTGCTTTATGATATATAATGACTTTCATGAATATAAATTTAAATATTATTCATTTTGAAATTAGAATAGTCAATACTGAAGTGTCAGGACATGTATGGATTGAAACAGCTTCAGTATTTGAAATCCTTAGTAATTCATGTACAGATACATGAACAGATACTTGAAGCATTAATCCTGATACACAAGCTGATTACTCTCAAGTTGCAATTTTATTTCTTTGTAAATACAAGCAACTATGTTAGACAAATACAATATTTGTGGTGGGGGGTGGGTTTCCCCCAGGACATAGCCTACAACTACATGATAATTAGAAAAACTGTTATATCATCATTTTTTCTGATATTCAGTTATGAAAAGATGTCATTGTATAAGCCAGCAGAAATATTTCACAGCTTCAATGCATATATATCAGCTCACCCAAACAGGCTGGAATATATTTTCCCACATCGTTATTCCTGCAATCTGCAAAACAGAAACCAGAATTTTCTTCAGAAATGCTTTATTTATATAGCAGTGCAGTTAAGACTGCCAAACTATCCATCTAATTTTTTCCCTTTCCACAAACACTGATTGTGTCATAACTCGGATTAAGGATCCTATCTGACCAGTTCAGTGTTTTTACTGTAAAATCCTATCAGCGGTTTAAATATGTCAAAAATCTAGACTATGACTACACTTCTTTACCCAGGACCAATAATAATAACAACAACAACGACTTAATTTATTGCTTGCAGCCCACTCATAGGCCAAGCCGCTGGGACAAGCACAAGCACTGGACTGGACAAAGGGTCCCATTTCACTTTTTGTGCTATGACTTACTTGCAGCAGCTTTGCTATTATCTTGATAGTGTAACAGTGCAGAATCTATTTTTTTATACATATAGTAGACGCTTTAACAACACAGACCAATGCTATCCAGTTACATAAAACAGATAGCAGAACAGCAAGCTAACTCGAAGTGGAAAGAAATTTCTTTATACTTTCTTATTAAGCTTTTCTCAAAAGGAAAATGCTTCAGTCATTTCTGAAGCCATCTGAAGCCACTGAAAGACAGCAGAGGCACAGAGAGCGCACAGGACTGGGCCACAGGCAAAGCCAAAGCACTCGCCACTCACTGGAACACAAATTAGGACCAATGTACAGTACAGGTTGATTATAGTTTCAAAAGCAAGCTTCGTTATTTTATGCACAAAATAAAACATTAAAATGTAGAATACAGTAGATTTTCAGCTGTTAGGTCCAGGCTTGAATGATTCAGCATCATTCAAATCGATGCATCCTAGGAGAAGATGTGACTTTCATTTCTTTCTTAGCTTTTATTTGAAACATCACTTTAAAGATGTTTTCCTACCTTCAACGTAGTATTCCTGACTCAGCTTTACTTCACAGTAATTTGGTACTGTTTGCATGGTCACATAGATGTGCTGTGCTACACTGACTTCAAAGCAGTTGAATTGAACATGTACCTGTTCAAAACATACATAAAATTAAGTTTGTGAGTGACTTCTAGAGCACAGGAAGACTACTGGTTATCAGAATTAAGCAAGCAATAGCCATTATTCAATTAGATTTATTACAACATAAAGAAGGTAAAAGAAGCAGATACTATTTAATAAAAGGTTTTCCTAGAGTGACAGCACTTCTAGTCCTGGAGGTTACTATTCTTCTTCACTCACAGAAGGCCAAATATCTACAAACTACCAAATAATCCTAAAATCATAGAGATACAGGTATCCAATGCTCAATGAATTTCAAAAAGAAATGGCCTTTGATACTAAAAAGAAAGTCACAGTGTATAGGCATTTTACAAGCATAGACACTTACAGAAGAGGGAAAAGAAAAGTGTTAAAACATTTTGGCAAATTTATTCATTCTAGTTACAGTTTATGAGAGTAAAGGTAATTTCTAAGGCAAAAGTTGAGGTCCATTTATAGCAGGTCCTTCCCTCACTGACAAAAGTATTGTTACAATCCATGTAACTTTTCACACTGAATATGCTCCTATTTAGCACAAGATATTTAGAGAGTAAAGGCATCTTATGTCACCATTCCACTCACTGAATTAAAACTAAGAAAATGTCCATAAACTTATTTTTGGGTCATGCCTATAAAACTTACCTTAGTCTTAAAGATACCAAATTTTTCACTGCCAGCCCTGCATTGCACATGGGGACTTTTAATTATGGAGCAATACAGAATGGAAACTGAAATTGAAGTTTTGCACATGTGGCCAGTATAACATTTATAAAGCAAAAGAGTAATGGATTTAATGGATTTTATAATATTATCCATCAGTAATTGAAAACAAATGATCATTTCTTTTTAAAGAGTAGGTCAAAGCATGGCTCTTTTTTTTTCCAGTTGCAAATTGTAATAACGCTCTGGGTTCAGTTTAGCACAAGATTGCACTCCATGATTATTACCATGAACTGGTACTGGACTGATATGCATAAATATTTAGGTCTTTAACTCACTTCCAGATGTGTAATTTCTATAGATATGATATGATATGATATGATATGATTAATAACTCAATTTTTTTTTGTATCTAGACTTAAATGATACACATGCACTTAGAAGATCTTGTGACTGCTCTCTGTAGCAACTGGAGGTACAAAAGCTTCCCCACAATTTGGTAGAGAGAACAAAGGAAGTGAATAACTTTGATTTGAACATCAGTCTTTGCAGAGGCAGGTCCTCTTGCAAATAGATTAGTGGAAAATGGTGGAGAACCAAAGTTATAGGTTATAAAAGGTCATTTTATCATTACTGGCTTTGATGTGATGCTGCTGAAACATTATTGCAGTTTTCCAAAAGGCTACCATTTCATTGCAGGTTTCCAAAAAGTTAATAAGGGAATAAAGAAACAGAGATGCAAAATGAAATATACTTCTTTTCTCCATAGGCTCATACACATTTAAATGATAAAAATAGCAAAACATAATCTACCTTCTTTCCATTAAGCATCTTGCTTTTTTTCCTAGCAAACCTCACATTTGTGCACTGAGATTGCTGTGTGTCCAGTGAAAGAGAACATATTTCCAGCCCACGAATATTTTCTGAAATGAATTCAGAATAGATTTTAAAAGTTTAATTTGAGCATCTTTAGCAAAAACAGAAACTAAATTAAAACAAAATGTACCATGTCCTAAGTTTGCCTTTTAAGTGAAAGGGACATGTATTAAAGGAAATAAGTAAAACAGGAAATTACATATATACACACATAAAGGTAGAAGGAAGGATTTAATAAATTTCCCTCTAAAAGATTTAACTTTACAAACTCTTATGCAAATGACTGAGCCCATTAACTCAGAGTGAAGCACACCAGGAAATACCTACATGGTAACACACTAAGAACATGAATGGCACTGTTATTAAAAGTAGGATATGCCAAAAAAGCTGCTTTCATTTTATTTTGATGCAGAGTTAAAACTTCAGACACTTCTCCTGAGGCATAGGATCTATGGGTCACTCATACCAATCTGAGTTAATCAATCAGGGCAAATGATATTTTAGCGCATGTAAGAAGACAGCAAGAAAGAAAAAGGCATCAGGGTACCTGGGTAATTAGTAGAGGAAAAGTTAAGTTTAAAATATTGGCTGTAAAACTTCTGCTGTACTGAATTCATTATGTCAGTTCCCATTACCTTGAGTAAGATCAGGGTTTTACCATGGATTTTAGATAAATGGTTCCATATGTAATCTTACTGATACATGAAAACCTCTTGAACATAAACAGAGCAACAAGGAACAAGATTTGGCTGAACAGCTACAAACAAAAATGTCAAAAAAAAAAAAAAAAGGATTCAGTAATAAATCTGCCTCATACCATCCAGACTTAGCGTTCCTTTAATACTTAAATGAAGAGAGCACGGCGTTCCTTGGGCACATTTCATCACTGTTGAGATCTTCATGCTTTTCATCACCACAGAGGATAAAGATGCAGGAGCATCGTGGCAGAAACTGTTAAAAATACCACCTGCAAACGCAGAACACACAGATAGAGAAACGTTACTTTGCACAGCGTCTCTCTGAAGGACTGCTGTCTTCCTGGGGCTGTCAGAAGCCCCACTGGGGAAGCCTCAACTCCACTGAAAACAGTAGGAGAGTCAGTATAGACTTTAGTAGAGCCAGCACTTAACCTAAGACTTTCACATGACCAGAGCGAACACGTGGTTGGCTCCATTAGCCCTTCAGTGAGTGACTGTTACATCATAGATCTGCTTTGATAATTTCCTCGTTTGCAGAAGGACCCACTTCCTTCTGCAAAAATTATGACTAGGAGCACCCAGCTAGACTAACTGTGCTTTTAGGTAATTAGATCCACCAGATCATGGCTGGGCTAGCATGATATTTAAGCTTTTCTTAAAACAATTACCTATATCTTTTCTGTACTCTCATAGGTAGCATTTTAATTCTAGAGAACATTGGCTGGAGGTCTCAGCTGCTGTTAAAATGTCATTTTCACACAAGGGGGCACCATTGCATTCCTAGTCATGGAAAAATTCTTCACACCTATGGGATTTCCATCTCCTTTAGACCAGGATGATGAGAACAAAGTAAGCATCATCTAGGCCTTCTTCAAGTTGTAATTGGTAGTCACAGAATACATCTACTATCCTTCATCTTATTTCCAATGACAATTTAGTCATGACTAAAACCCCAGGCCATGATGTGCACAGCAGTTTTCTGCAGAACAATGAAGAAACAGTCCTATGACCCCTAAATTTGCCCTATTACATCTCTTTTTACTTCTCAGACTTCCATGCACAGAAATCAGTTATGCAGTGCTGAATTAATGTTGGTGGAGCAGATTTAATCTCTAAGGCAATTATTGGGCATTATACTTCAAATATGTAATAGTCGTGAATGAAACTTTGCAGTTTGAGAGGCTGTTGGAATAAGTATCCTGGCAATTGCCTTTTGTTACAACAGGGGACATCTCATCCTAGCTGCAATAAAAGCATGGCAATTTCCTTGAAATACATTTCTAACTTTAGGACTTAGCAGCATTAGTCTTATTGCTCTATGTACTCATAGGAGCTAGAAGGTGTTCAGCTATTATGGGAAGTTCATATGCTAATGAAAACAGCAATGTCATGTTCCTGCATTGTGTTTGCCATAAAATACAAGAAAATAACACTACCAGATCAGCAGAAAACTATGGATTCTTGTCAAGCACGGATGTCCATTGACTTGCATGGAAGACACATCCACAATTCTCATGGAGGAAAGGTACGAGGTAGAGGAGGAATGGCAGACATATATCCTCATTTACTCCTCCAACCACATGGAAAAGTGCCCTAAAGAATTTGTAAATATGTTTCCAAAGAGTTGAGGTTGTTTTTTAAAAAGTACCACGCTCAACAGGCGAAAGTGAAGATGTCATCCTCCTGGCCATCCTCCAGGACTAGATTGTGCAATAATCACAGAATCATTAAGGTTGGAAGTGACCTCTAGAGATCATCTAGTCCAACCTCCCTGCTCCAGTAGGGACATCTAGAGCACAGGGCACAGAGTGGCATTCAGGTGGGTTTGGAAGATCTCCAGAGAAGGAGACTCCACAACATCCCTGGGCAGCGTGTGCCAGGGCTCTGGCAGCCTCACAGTGAAGAATTTCTTCCTCATACGGAGATGGAACTTTCTGTGTTTCAACTTGTACCTATTATGTGTTGTTCTGTCACAGACCACCACTGAGAAGAGTTTGGTCCCTTCCTTCCTACATTCTCCATTCAAGTATTTGTACACAATGATCAGATCCCCTCTCAGCCTTCTCTTCACCAGGCTAAACAGGCCCAGCTTGCTTAGTCTTTCCTCATACAAGAGATGTTCCAGTCCCTTAACCATCTTTGTTGCTCTCTGCTGGACCCTCTCTAGAAGCTCCACATCCCTGTTGTACTTGGGGAGCCCAGAACTGCCCCCAATACCCCAGGTGCGGCCTCCCCAGAACTGAGGAGAGGGGCAGGATCCCCTCCCTTGACCTGCTGGCAACGCTCCTCCGGATGCAGCCAAGATCCCATTGGCCTTCTTGGCCACTGGCACACTGCTGACCATGGTTAACTTGTTGCCAACTAGGACTTCCAGATTCTTCTCCATGGAGCTGCTCTGCAGCAGGTCAACCCTCAATCTGTACTGGTGCCTGGGGTTATTCCTCCCCAGGTGCAGGACCCTGCACTTGTCCTTGTTGAACCTCATGAGTTTCCTCCCTGCCCAACTCTCCAGCCTGTCCAGGTCCCTCTGGATGGCAGCACAGCCCTCTGGAGAGCTGGCCGCTCCACCTAGCTTGGTATTGTCCACAAAATTGCTGAGGGTGCACTCTGTAATAATTCTAAAGGTATCTCAGAATGGAGAGCTCTTCTACAACACCCAACCAATCCACCCACAGTAACCGGGAGATTATTTTATTCCAAAACTACCTAATAATTATTACTAGTAACATGTTAAGTGATGATCAGTTTTAACTCCATCTCTTTGGTCAAAAATACTACTTTCTTGACTACATCATACAACACATAGTTGTTCACAACTACTGCAAATGACCTATGTTGTTTACATATGAAAATGAATAGTACCAGGAGTAATTGTTTTTCTTTAAATCTTTTGTTGTATAAATTTCTTGTAATTTTTGTTTGTTTTTGTTATCGCTTTGTGGTTTTGGAGGGTTTTGGTTTTTTGTTTTTTTTTGGTTTTTTTTTGGTATAAACTTTGTGGTATAAATTTCTTTCCCCAAGCCTAATTTTGCCCATTCTTGTATCTGTGCATAAATGATTCTGAGAAGACTATATATATGCATTATTAAAAGTTACAGTACACAAGATTTGAGCAAATTTGACCATGTTATTTTACCCAACCTTGTAATTACTGCCTAAGATTTGCTATTATTAGATGTAGCAGGTTTAGGACTATCTCAGGAGAATCTGAAGTCAAACCTAGGTTCATTACTTACATTGGCTCAGGATCAGGTAGATACATAAGCACAGTTTTAGGCATTACTATGTTTCCCTAAATAGGGACTCTGTTTCCTTGATTAAGGTTTCTACCATTGACCTGAAAACACATAAGGAATATACCGGATAAAATGAAATGACTCTTTCACTTCATTTTTTTATAATGAATTCTATGATACATTTTGAGACATGCAAAAGACTGCAAAATATATTATTAATAATTTAAGTGGATTGTATCAAGTACCAAGGCATAGGTGTATCAGGCACCAAGGTTTTGGATCACAATAAATGCATAATACAAGGAAGAGGGAACAGAAAATAATTTCCCTTCTATAAATCACAGTCATTTTTGTAATCACAAAATGAGACTCATTTTCTGACTAATTTTCCAGTAAAAATTTACCTTATCATCTCTTAATCCCCCTTCCCCTTTCACAGTTCCCTCTGGAACACACGCCTCTTTCCTTTTCTCACCCCAAAAGACACAGAAGTACATCTTGCTACACAAATCATCTGCTGAGTAAATCTTGCCTAGTTTTTATGTTTATAAATTATACTTGTAATTAGCCCTACATGAGAGAGGGATTGTTGCTGTAATAAAAGATTCCTTAATTATGGACACATATAAGCCCTGGCATAAAGAAATCAAGGCTTATTATTCAGCCTGTAGACACTTTCCTTGTACTTTTGCCATCAGCTCAACCACAGAGGATTATTTTTTATCTGATGATGCAGCAATCAACCCAGAACTGTCATGACAGCAAAACACACCTTGAATAAAATTAGATAATAGAAGCCAGAGCTGAGCAATGAATACGCAATGGAAATGATTAGATGAATAATTTGGAACCTCAGGCAAGAAGATGAAATTAGAGAACAACAAAAAACATGCAAAGAAAGCCCATTAATAACAGGCCCAGGCCAACTCCCAAAAGAAACTCTGTTTTTTTGTTTGTTTTTATGGTATTTCTTCCCTAAAAGAATTGTAAGAATCTCAACATCTTAGACTCCTGACAGTGCTCAGTCTGTGAATGAATCTGCAGCAGGTTAAAATTGCTTTGCTTGGGCATCATTCCATGAGTATAAAGTAGCAGTTAAAAGCCCTTTTGCATATGTGTTACCACACTGTTTTCTGCATCTGTGCATTAGAATAATTCAACAACTTCATAAACTAGATACTCTCCTAAGATAACCGTATACATTTCTGTTAATAAATGCCAAAATTCGCCTCTCTAAAATGCACTAATATTGAAACTGGTTAGGTTTCATGTTGACAGTGTCACTTTTAAAATACACTTCAATGCACAGTAAAGTCAAAAGTATTTGCTAGTTGTGAAACCTTCAGAAAGTGTTTTGAACTCTGAATGACAACAAATGCAACAGTGTTATAATCTGCCAAATGTTCTTTCTGAGGCTGTAGGATTTTTTTTTTTTTAACCTGTGAATTTTAAAAAATACTATGTAGCCCTTATGTCCTACTAATTGTTGTGCAGAACTAGAGGGAGGAGACAGGGACAAAGCTACATTGCCAAACACTACTGAATTGACAGCTGTAAATTCTAGGAAATATAGTCATCTTTTTGTCACAGCTGCAAATAATGATGACTGCAGAGGTGCTGGGTTATACAGCTAAGGTCTTTTGAGGTAATTTTACATAAAAAAAACATGACTATAGAAAGGGAAATATGGAAATGAGCATACACCCACTGTTGCACAAGTGATTTAGGATTAAAAACTAAAAAAATGTTTTTACATCACCGCTATAAGGTTGAGTCATCCGAGATGTTATTTCTATTAAAGATAGTTGATAAATTGTGGTCAGGTAGCACTGAAAACCTAAAGTCAGCTCTGCTTCATGTACATCATATTGCAAGAGAGGGATCTTGAGTTTACCAGTGCCTCAGTGAGCAAAGCTTATATCCAGCTTTGAGTTGCACACCAGTTTAGGCCTATATGCATCACTTTTGCAGTCAATGAAGAGGGAGCACCCCTTCTATCCCTCCCAGAGGGAAATTCACCCTGTCTTAAGATGCGTGGGATGAATCACCACCTGGTGGGACCTATGGCAATAGTTTCCACTATCTAGATCTGTATTTGTGTAATTACCAGCTTGGAGTTTAACTCATAACCAATAGCTCAGTGACTCACGCTATAACACCAGGATTTCACCCACTTGCAACCCAGCAGCACAGCTTCATCTTTTCTGTGGACTAACACGTGGTTCCAGGAAAGGCGCTCTGGAGAAAAGGAGCTGGGCCTGTAACCACATCTGTCATCCCAGGGGAACTATCTGAGCAGCGTTTGCCTTGGCAGCTGCTTAATCCTTCCTTATCAAGTAACTGCGTGCACTGGTGATGCGATTGTTGAAGGCTTCAGATAAGTTAACAGCTATATCATTCCTGTAGCTAATAATAATGCTTGTAAAAAAAAAAAAAAATGAGTGAAATGATTAAGGAAATTCTCACAGTGATCATTTATAGTAAGGAAAATTGCAAAACAAAAGTACACAATCATTTAGCAAATGTATTAATAATGTGAATGATATATACTCACTGGAAGGTTTGCTTTTACAATGAATCCCCTGCAAAGAGAAGTGAAATACATTATAAAAGCTGCTATGACATAACAAAAATAAAAATTGTTTAATTATTATACACAAATCTGAAAACATCTTAGACAAGTAAACGTTTGCACAATCCACAAAAGAAATAACTTTCAAAATAATAAAAAGAAAAACCTAATACAATGAAATTGCTCACCATGACCATTTATAAAGGGCTACTAAGTACAGTGACACAAGATCAACATTACCCATAAAGTTTCTATTTTCTATAGCAGTATAGAAAGTATAGCAGTTATGACAAATATGACAATTCCATCAACTACCGTCTGCCTTTTATCAGGTTTTGCCATTTCATACGGACTGATAGCTAATTTATTGTTTGGTTAGAAGTTTACAGTGAAGTGTTTATAGTTCAATGTCAAGATAACTGGGCAAAGAAACCTCTCGATTTTTTAATGGAAGACATCTAGAATATTTCTGATTATTAGATGAGTTATTACATATTATATAGTCACATATTTTCATTGACTGAAAAACACAAAAGTTACTTGTTACACTGCTAAGAATTCTATTCAATATCACATCTATGTCTAAAAAAGAAAATATGAAGGAAATCAAATTTATTTATGTAACTGTTCCCAAACTGGGATTCTTCTAGGTAAATAGCTTCAAAAATTCCACAGATCCCACTGGAGGCTGGAAAATATAACTGATACAACCTTGTTTCTGCTACAATGTGCTCAGTAGAAATATTTGTACATGTGTGATTGTTTTCTGCAAAAAGAGCTTCAATGGTAGTTTCGTGATTTATACTCCCAATGCAGATTCATGAACAGAAAGAAGACTATAGTTTTCTAAATAGTTCAATACAAAATTAAACAACAACAAAAAAGTAACATGCCAGCTCATATAAAACTTCAGTGGAATTTTAACTGCTGTTTCACCATCCTGATTTTGAATAATTTCTAACTGTAACCCTGCAAGAGCATGCAGAAGGACAATTTGCATTCAGTTTTACTCACTTGAGGTTCAAGATGGCCTTAGGAAATGTAATAGATAAACATACAAAATCCCTGCAAAAAATGGGGTGAGTTATCTGTGAGCTAGCTTTCTTGGTAGGAAAATCTAATTGTTGGATCAATTCATTGCTGAATCACAATTCATTGGAAGGAATTAATCCCTCATGAGGTTGATATTTTAAGAAGTTACTTCCCTATTTCTACCTTCTAATTTTATTGCCAAACTATAGAAAATATTTTGGTCAAGTGTCTCTACAGAATTCCCTGCTGCAAGTCAAAATTTCTCAGAATTCAGTCTCTAAATTGGTTGGTTATCGGCTGCTTTCTGTCTAACCCTTCTTTCTCGTTGTAAACATGGTACAACATATTAGAAAAAATCCACAGTGTTTTGAAATTAACAACATAAAACTCATAAAACTTCGATCCGGTCTTTCATTTGCATAACAGCATTAGTTCAGATTTCCAAGATAGGAGATTTCCTGAAAAATGCAAATCTTATGTAAATTATTTTTAGTTTCAAACCTGAAATGAGAAAGAGGAGATGGGTCCCTCTACCTTGCAAGCCAACTACCAACTTTGGTGGAGCTACAGGATGATGCAGAAATGTTCCTACATCCTTTATTCTATCCAAAATAGTTCTTGTATCGCACTATTGCTCTGAGAACTCCTGCTATCTAAGCACTTTCCAGTAATGCTTTGTATTTATTTTCTTACCTTCTCCATGAGAAACGGAAACGTATTCAGCAGTGTTTTTTGTTCTGGCAGGGGAATGCTTTGTGGTCATTGGGCATGTAGGTTTGTTCCGCGTGAGGAGGAGTTTGGAAGGTTTGCCAGTAACAGCAAGCATTTGGTCACAGACCAATTCCTTCTTTTAATAAGAAATTTCTTTTTATTGTACAATACCATGGGCTTTTCATTTCCTTTTAGAATCATTTTGAAAATAGTCATAAGAGACCATTTGTTTCAAAGAAGAACTCAAATAAATTAAACAAGTTCCTCTCCCACTTTCTATATCTTTTGTTTTCAGGAATTTTCTGTGATGAATGTAACAGAAAAACACAACACACTAAAACCAGAATGGAAATTTTCTTCCCCTTTCACAAATGCTTTGGGTGCCTTTTATGCAGAAATAAGATCTTGAACATGATAGTACACTTTGATACAGAGAGCATCTTAGATTCATATCTGCTTTGGCAAAGAGCCTAAGCAAAATATACTTACACAATGCACAAATAGTTAGGGATTTTCCTATTTCTCTAGGGTTTTCCCCATTTGCGGTATTACTCAACTGTAGCTAGAGGTTATCTGAAGAGACACCACCAACGTGCAGCCTTGTGAATAGAAGGTGTGGTGCCAACATTTTAGCTAGCACAGCAACTTCTCTGCAAACTAAGTCAACTGTAATATCACATCACTTCATTTAAAGACTACAGAAAAGAAAGTGAGAGAAAGACAGATTTTGGCGGGGAGGAATTTTCTTGAAGTAAAACTGATGAAGAAAAAAAACAAATATTAGAGCTATTTCCCATTTCCTGTTAAATCTCCATGCAGTGTGGGAAAACAGAATTATGGAAATCCTGCATTGAACAGACTGTCATGAAGGGAAAGGGTTTGAGGCAAACTTGTTTTCACAATCTACCTGTTAGCTCTGTTATACCTGCTTCATACAGAGTTGGTGGCAATTCTTCTGCAATTCCATAAAGAGCAGCAATGTTCTTGAAAATGCCTTAAAATGTGTTTTGATCTTAATCTGAGGCCAGGCTTTCAGAAACAAGCTTTCATTTAGTTACCTGAAAAGCCAACAGTTTCTTCTGATTTTGAGAGTTTCTTTGTAGGGGAGCTGTTACCTAAGTTCCTACTGTAGGCCAGGCTGTCAGAGTGATCATCAAAAATTTGCTCTTTTCCAGCAATTTCTACTCTTTGACCACCATTAAGAGCAAGTATGGGACTGTACTTAATCTTATAACACAAGGAATTAGATGTTTTCATGTTGAGTGGCCTTACAATAACCAATTCTCAAACTGTAGCCAAGGGCTGGTAAAGATAATGGGTCTAAGTGTGTTCTTTCTGATTTCCAGATGACAGAGAACAGTCTCCATAAATTTATCCTCTTCTACATGGAATACAGAATTAGAATGGATCCTCTAGACCACTGGGTGCTTACTCATGAACCATCACACCATCTAGTGAACTATCACACCATCTAGTCCCTTCAAAAACTGGTCAAACTGCATTTTATAATCAGTCTGTACCAGGGCCCTTCCAGAAGGCCAGTTCTCTTGCAGAAAGAAAAATTTTAATTTCAAAGGTAAACCCAATGATGGTTAGTTTATATTCGCTTGTGTTTGTGTGAATTGTCTTTTCACTTAAATAGATGCTCTCCATCCTTAAATTTACTCTCCATTTATCTGCAGATGCATTCTCTCATGCTAAGTTTTTTTATACTCCCCTCATAAAACAGGCTCTCCTTTTTATCACCATCCCTCACAACAACTCTTCTATTTAACACATCTTTCCTAATGGTGTGACTAGACTCGTGCACAATTCTGAAGACAGTTTCTCACTAGGGTTTATTTGGTGCTGTGTAAAGTGATAATATTTTTTGTCTCTCTTGTGAGCTACATCACATTTTGCAGTCATCCTACAATACAGAGCACACTATTTAGTGAATTACTACTTCCTTTTCCATGAAAGCAATATGTATCTGCCCTTATTTTCTCCCTCTGCTCATGTATTCCCATGTATAGCCTTTAGATGATGAGCGACAGACTAAATGATTTCACACGGCCTCTAGTGAAAGAGCTAGCAGTCTCAGCCATCTCCACAATGAAAAAGATCTTTGAGGAGTGGACAGGCACAATCAAATGAAGTGTTACGGATGCATGCAATTTCCAACTTTGGATGGAAAGAGAAGGAATTAAGGTCTGTGTCATAAGCTCCTCAGATTTTCAACGAATGATCATAATTCTCTTCACAGAGACATTCAGACCCAGAAACCAGTTAAGGAAAACTTCACAACAGGACATAATTGAGCATACTTCACCTTCTCCCAGAGCTATTTTCATAAGCCAAGGAGATAATGACTTGGTACTTTGCATATCCTCGGTGCTAGTGAAGACTAGAACCCCTCAGAACTTTCCTCATTCTGTTCTATTTTAAGGTATAAATGTCACCCCTGCCTTTCAAGTATACAGAAACTGAATCATTTGCAGTAAGAGAAAGCACAGACATAATTCTTGTCCCACCAAAAAAGATCCTTAACTAGACCAAGGTTAAGTATTTACACAGGAAAGCGCAAAACAGATTACAAATAGATGAAATAGATCTGTGAATCTGTGAAAAGGCAAAACAGCAGGCCTCCAGAAAACATTTGGCAATTAAATAAAATTGTGGCCATGTTTCCAAAGGAGTTATAATGATTAACACACATAATATGAAAATTTAGAACAGTTAAGCATTTCCAGCTAGTACTACTGATAGAGTGTCCCAAAAGACCTGTTTTCAAAAAGAGCCTCTGTATTTGTTTTGGCGTTGTGTGTAATTACTTTCATTGCCAAGGTAAAACTGATGATTCTTATTTATTTTTGGCACACAACAAGGTTGTTCCTCAGCTTTCACTGACAATGCGGTAATCAGCCACATTTGAACAGTGAATAATGGAATCAGCTAAGTGCTCGTGGAAGGACCGTTATCACAGCTGGGCTGATATCCATGCAGAACAGCATCGGCACCTAACTCTACAGCAAAGCTTTATTTTGGACTATTGCTTCTACAAGACAGCCAAGGATGTTGCGGGGTTTGTTTTTTTTTTTTTTTTCAGAATGCTAAAAACAAGAAGTCTGATTCATAACTACACAGAATCCATCTCCAAGATGGAATTTAGTTTCTCTTCATGTGCTTCAAGCAGAACAAAAGCCACCTGATCACACTGGTGCAGTGCTGAACCTGAGAGAGCAAACACTGCTGAGAAGTGGGGATATTAAGTTCAGGTCCAGGACT